ATTTCACCCTTTTCATTCCTAATTGCATGGATTTGGGCCTTTTCTTTCCTTTGTCTGACAAGGTTGGCTAAAGGTTTGTCAATTTTGTTGATTTTTTCGAAGTGGTTCTCCTTTCTTTTGGTACACAATAAATAAGTTTATTTTCTTTCATTAAAAAAAGAAAAATGGAAAGAAGAAAAGTGCTTAGAATTAAGGAGTACTTAATTTGGCTGAAGGTGGGTTTAGGAAGAACAGAAATAAGAATGTGTAAGAATGACTGAAATTACCCAACAGAAGACATCTGAAGGTCTAGCCATGTCAGAGTGTTCTAAACAGATGGCAGAGAATGTGCCCATAGCACCATGGCTTGTGCCGTTAGTACCTGTTTAAAGATGAAGGTCCAAACCTCCAGGGAAGAGATGCTGACCTGGACTGGCCTATTCCTTCAATCACTATCATCTCCAGGGAACACAGGAATGTTGGGCAACCACTAAAGATACAAGAACAAAGCCACAAATCCAGCAGGACGTGGTGGCGCTGGCTGAGGCAGGAGGCTTGCCAAGCTTGAGCCCCAAGGCAACAAAGAGAGACACTAACTCAGAATAAAAATTTTTAAAAGGCCGGGGGTGTAGCTCAGTGTGAAGGCCCTGTGAATCTCCAGTACTGCCAAAAACAAAACAAAATAAAAAACAGTTACAAGTCTGCAAAAGCCCACATTCTGAGACACACTGACCTATCAGTTTCTCCCTCAAAGAGAAAAAACCTGAGGCTTCTCATGGATGATGAAATAAAGTGCATGTGCCTTGATCCAGATTACTTCTTGAAAAATGGGACACCGTCGTTCTTTTGCCTAAGATGCCCAAACAAAACACGCAGATGGACAGCAGAAAATTCTCCTGCATCCTGAACTCTGATACTGCTGTGAGGATGCAGATGTTAAATGGAACTTTCTGATCTTCAGTGCTTTAAAAAAAAAGAATTGAACCAGCAAATAGCAAAGGCCACAGCAGAAAATTTATTGGAATTATTTTGCTACATAATTCATATACATTCAACATCACTGAATGGAAATGTTAACTCAAAAAATACACCAGGACTCAAATTAGGGTCTTTAAAGAAACTCAAAAACTTCTTAGTGACTGTTATTTTTAACAAATGGAATGACCAAACCAATGAAATCAGATGTATCTCAATCAACTCCAAAGTTCAATACTGCCAACATGTTTTTCTATTTAAAAGCAAATAAAAAATCAAAGCCTTGTAATTTAGTAATTACCATGTTTCTTGGTTTCTGTTCTCAAATGCTACAGGAAGATATCTAATGAAAGGCAGCAAAACACCTAGTCTCAGAAGTCTTCAAAATTGTAAGGCTTCTCTTACAATTATCAGTATAAATATTTAGATTCCCATCTGACAGATTTCTTTATTTGTGTGAACAGGAATGCTCTCAAAACCCTTCAATCTTGCTTCATTATAGCTGGGTGATTAAACCACCAAAAATTCCCTCTGTATTGGCTGGCCTGAAGCGTTAGATAAAAACTTGTTACAAACTCTTCAAAGAAACTGTGATGATCACAGTACAAATTCTGGTGATCAGAATGCTATAGTACTAAGGGATACTTTGTTGCCTAATAGCAAATATTCTAAAAATATTTCTCATTAATAAGTAAATTTCATAACATGCACAGAAATAAATGACTCTATTACAATATAAGAATAATCATTAACTTGTCCTCGCTATTCCCAATTACATTATTTCTTTTCCTATGGTGAAGATCACACCCAGGCCCTTGGGCATGCTAGGCAAATACACTACCACTTAGCTACACCCCTAGCCCTTCCCAAAGACTCTGAGAGCTTGTGCAGGTTCTAGCAGGGGAGTGCAGCTACTCAAATAACACCCTTGACCAGGGAAACAGTCTTCCCTTATCCCACCAAGCATGGAGCAGCGAGGGAACAAGGGGATACCTACCCAGCCAGCCAGATCAGCCAGATCAACCTGGCGATCTATGGTGTGACAGATGTTCCAGCCAGACAGCCTCACATCCCTTTCCCAATGACTTTAAATATAAAATCTAATTATATAAAGACAAAATTTCCATGTCCTATTAAACCTCGTATACCAAACAGTTTAAGTGTTGAAAATGAGAAACATTTAAGAAATCTCTATTAAGAACCTTGGATACCACTTAGCAGTAGTGATAGAAGGTAAAGCAAAAAAGGAAAGGCATATTTCTCAGAGATTTTTAAAGAAAGAATAGATATAAAAGAAAATTCCTTTGGAATCTACACATTTTGCACCTTTCACATGATGTCTCAAAAAGAATTTACTAAACAAAAGTACCAGGAAGAGAATTAAAAACATTTATAAGATATATTTATTATTTTTCTGACCAAAGTGCAATGATTTTTAAAAATATTTTTAAACAAATAACTATGAAGAAAGTATTCCAGAAAATAAAATACAAATGGGCACTTTAACCATTAGATTTCTTTTTCTAATTTTACCCTAACCCTGAATTAATTTAAGAAACAAACACAAAACCTGAATCGTTACTAATGTGAGAATTGAATCCTTTCAGCATAAATCTAGCACATGCATTTCAAGGTTCTATTGCTACGAATTGTGTTGATCAGTTTAATCATGAATAACACCAAATAACAGAGCATAAGGAACACAACATTAGATGTGATCCTTGTCCCACACCCTCAGATTAAGTTATAATAAAGCTGACAATTCTGTCAGGCTCTGAGTCCCTTGTGTGCCCAACCCAAACCTTGGAAGCAGACTATGGCCTATCATACAACTTTGTACAAGCTGTAGATAGTTTTATCTTTCTCTAGGAAATGGTCAGTTATTTGATAAATATTAAAACATTGCTAGCAATCTATTTTCTGAGTTTGTTTACCAAATAACTTATGCAAGAACTGACTACATAAAAAGTTCCTTTGAAATTTGGTCCACAAATTCACTTAACAGGTTGGAAATTTGAAACCTGCAAGAAAAGGAAATGGGAATCCCTAATCCTAACATGTTGTAATTTACACATTTGTTTTGTTTTTTGAGACAGGGTCTCACTATGTAGTTCAGGCTGGCCTTGAACTTACTGTAGGCCAGGCTGGCGTTGAACTCACATCAATCTTCCTGCCTCAGCCTCCCAGTACTGAGATTACAGGTGTGGCCACCCTGCCCAGCTCTCATGTTGTAATTACTACAGATTTTTTTTTTTGGTACCAGGGATTGAACTCAGGTCCTTGTGCTTGCGAAGCAGGCAGCAGCACCACTGAGCTAAATCCCTGGCCCCTCATGTTGTAATTACTAAAGGGATATTAACACGCATACTAAAAATTTTTGCTCACAGAAGGCACAAACTATAAAAGGGACAGTCTTTTTAATAAAAACGAAGAACTACCTGATACCTTTGTTTTGTGATCACCGTAATAACTAAGATGAGGTTAAACCTGAACTGTCTACTCCTGTGACCAAAAGAATAAAATAAAATAAAACATTTGTCTGACTATGTATTTTCTAGCCATTAATTGAGATGTAATTTTCAAAGATTAAAACTGCCTTACAAAGGGGTTGGATAGCAGCTATCAAAGCAATATTCAAGCATGATTTCAAGGATGCTTTCAGGTTTAGAGTTAGCCTTCTTTATCAAAAATCTTCACAACTTCATCAAACACCTGCAAAGGAAAAAGATAAACAGCATATATGAGGCCTTCCATTCAATTCTCAGCACGAAAATAAAATGAAAAAACAAACAAAAACACCAGAATATGTACCCCTTACCATATAGCTAAGTTCCTAACAGTAAATTTTATTTTTTATTTTTTGCTTAAATTCTTTTATTGGTACATTATGGGTATACAATACGTTTACATTTATCATTGGGTGCTTGTACCTGTACACGATGTATCTTGGTTCTTATTTTTTACCCCATTACCTGTGCACCCTTCACCCCCTCCACCTTCCCTATTTACATAGACTTTATTTCCATTTTTTTCTTTTCTCATAATTTTTCCTTTCCCTTCTTTTTACATTATTTTTAATGGATCACTTGAAAAATCACATAATTTCTTTGTCTCATCTATTTTACTTTAGACATGAACTAAAAAAAGATCAACTGAACCTTCTTCCTCTGGATCTTTCTTTATTACCTTCTAAGAGGAAGATTCAGAGAAACAGGGGAAGGCAGATTTGGTGAATAAACCCATTCCCATGGCTTGAACCACTGGTGGTACATGCATGATTGTGGTATAAGCTGCCTGATAGGACAGTCATGCACATATGGCCCTCTCATGAATGTGTTAAAAGACACTAGAAATATCTGCAGGCACTGTAGGCTCAAACCACAATGTAGAGATCACTGATTTATGAAGGGAGAGAAGTGGTAAGTCATGGAACTCTGCACCTTTGGAGCTATTTGTTCTGTGATGGAAGAAAAAAAGCAGCTTAGGGCCGGGGATTTAGGTCAGTGGTTCCGCAGCCTGCCTCACAAGCACACACAAGGTCCCGAGTTCCATCCCGGTACCAAAAAAAAAAAAGAGAGAAAAAAGTAGCCTGGGGCTCTTGAGCTAGATGACTTGACAGTCACACCATAGATTTTCAAAAAGAGAACATGATCCAAGTCACAGAACTCAAAGTACCAATTTTCCAGTGTTTGAGCAAAGAAGTTTGGAATTAATAAACCACTCACATCTCATGAAAAACAAGTCTAAAGTTATAAAACCCATTTTAGACCTATTCAAAAAGGAAATAAACCTAATTTTTCCATTTAGTGTCAAATGAGACTAAAAAGCTAATCCATTGCAGTATTTTTCTCCTGCCTATATCAAAAGAAACAATCACATTTTCCCTTGACTTTTTCTTCAAAGACAGGTCAGAGGCACTCACTTCATCAACAGATTTAGATGCATCTATTTTCTTGACTTTCCCCATTTCTTCATATGAGTCAATAATTGGCTTTGTTGACTGAAGATAAGTCTGAATCCTGCAAAAGAAGCAAATGTTGTAACATTCTAGGTACCCATCCTCCTCCTCCACATTGTAGGTGGCTTAGAGGACAGTACCAGGTGTGACTCCACTAATTTATTCATCTCTACACAAGGCACTGCACCAAGGTAAGCTTGAGATGCTCTTTCTGTGGACCAAAATGGGGCAGAAATTTAATATATCACTCAAATTCCACACTGGGATTAAGGTGATTAAATGCAAAAACTGAAAAGTACCTCTTTTCCAAGCTCTCTCTGTTGTCATCACTTCTACCACTACTTTTTCCCCTCTCAAGACATCGTTCAATACAGATCTAAAAGAGATTTATTTTAAAAGTTACTTTAAAAGCAGAAAAATATGAACTTGCCATTCTTTTAATCTGAAAAGAAAATAAAGTTTGAAGAGACTACCAAAAAAAAAATCCTGCATTAAACCCAATGTGTCTAATTCATTAATCAACATGCAGTCTTTTAAAATTTAAACATGTGGTTCAATTTATATAAACTAGGTTAAATAAGTATAGAGCAAAATAAAAATTCATTCATGACTCAGTTTTTCCTGTGTGTATTTTTTTCAAACCACAATACAAAGAACTGTATGAGTATGGTTCCATCTCAGATATATTATTAACTTATTAGGTATGAATTACAAGCTCAAACTTTGTTCCATTTTTGCTTACTTTACGATAATTCCATAAATATCCAGATATTTAAGAGTCAACACATTTGAATAAAGCACCTCTTGTTAATCGTGAATAAACATTCCTTAGTTATAAAGCTGTGGTAACATTTTAAAGTTAACTTTGAAGAATAAGTGAAAACATATTTTTGGGGGTTGGAACAAGAGAGTTACATTTTTAAAACAAGTCAAAGGCTATAGAGAGACTCTCCCAAAGGCACATATGTAACTCAGCCCAAGAATAGCCAACTTCCTTCAAGGCATTACTTTAAATTCTTATTCTTTCAGACTGTTGGCAGTAATTTAATGACATTTATATCACAGCAGCTGTCAAACAGAATCAGGGCTTTTAATTAAATGATTCCGAGAAATTCATTTAGTTATTCAAAAGTATATCTGGGTGTGTTATGAGAAATGGTAGAAAAAAAGCAAAACAAAACAAAACAAAAATTCCTTTCTTCCCCTGGTACTGAGTACTGAACAAAGGGTCTTCCTACTAAGCTACATCCACAGCCCTTTTTACTTTTTGAGCCAGGTTGTCACTGAGTCACTAAATTGCCAAGGCTGGGATTATAAGGTGTGCACCCTTTCTTGAATTTTTTTTTTTGGTTTTGGTACTGGGATCGAACTCAGGACCTTGTGCTTGCAAGGCAGGTACGGTGCCACTGAGCTACATCCCTGGCCCCCTTTCATTTTTTTTCAAGATATATATTTTTTTACATTTTAGGCATACAATACAGTTACATTCATCATTGGGATCTTGTACCTTTACATGATGCATCTTGGTTCTTATTTTTTCCCCATTCCCATCCTCCCTTCACCCCCTCCACCTTTCCTCAAGATTATTTTATTCTTAGAGGATAAACCAAATTATGTTCTAACTTTCAAAAAACTTGTCTTTCTTTTCCAATAAACAACACACTCTCTGAAAATAGTGCATACGTAAGAAAGTAGTTTACCTTCATTACCTAACATTATTGTGCATATTGACTCTTATTTTTAAAAAACTGACTAGTTTTTTTTGAAAACAGCAAAATTTAGGTTCACAAGATTGCTGATGCCAAACAGCATATAATACACCAAGAACGAGTTAGTGCTTTTCTGTCTACCCAATCTACCAACTCAAAAAAATACTTCTGCCAACAGAAAATGTAAATATAAATAAAAGATAGTTGGGCCGGGCATTTAGCTCAGTGGTTCAGCCACCTGCCTTCCAAGCACAAGGTCCGGAGTTTGATCCCCGGTACCAAAAAGAAAAAAAAAAAAGAACAAAGATAGTTGACCATTAGTGGCTTAAAGTCCAAATGGGCAGATGAAGATTTTCCATTACCTCATTATTACAATCAAAAAAAAGAACAAAAGATACATCTGCTTTCCCATCCATGGTCTTGTTCCAACCTTGAAGGTTGTCTTGATTTCTTGGAAACCCATCAATCAAGAATTTATTCTTCTGAGCATTGGCAGCCATTGTTTGATCCATTTCCTAAAGAAAAAGATTTAGGTTCAATACTACATTAGCAAAGGGCATTAAGCAAGATAGTGAATACAGTTTGTTTTATTGTATTCCATGTTTTGTTGTACACCATGTATGTATCATAAGGGAAGAATACAAGGCACATTAAAAAACAGAATAGATGGAAATTAAACAATGTATTGACGTGGCTGCCTCAAGCTAGTGGAGTTTTGGGTATGTGACCCCTCTTCTCATTTTACACACACATAATTTTTTTTTTTTGCAGTTTCCAGGTTTTCTAGAGTGAGCATATACTATAGTTTGTACGTTGACTGTCTCCCAAAGGTCTATGTGCTAGGCTTAAACACCAGGGTGGCACTATTGGGAGGCCTGGTGGACCTTTAGGAGGGCCTCATACAGGTCTGAGGGTCACTGGGGTCTGTGACTGTGGGTCACTTTGTTTTTCCTCTTCTTTCCTGGTGATGAAGTGAGCCACTTACTCCACTATAAGCCCCTTGTCTTTACCATTTAGCACCACTACCAGAGGCTCACAAAAATGGTCCATCCCATCTTAGACTGGAATTCCAAAACTATAAGCAAAAATAAACCTTTCCTCTTTATAAGTTAGTTATCATAGATATTTTATTATAGTGACAGAAAACTAATAAAAGTGTTACATTTGTCAGCTTTCTTGTTGCCAAGACAAAATACGTGTCATCCACAACTTAAAGGTGGAGAGGCTTCCTTTGGCTCACAGTTTCAGATGTTTCAGACGACGGTAAGCTGCCTCCAAGGCAGGGTTTTGGAGAAAGCACATGGTAAGGCAATTCTGCTCTCTTCATGGCAGTCAAGGAGCAGGGTATAGGGGAGAGGGCCAGAGATAGCCTCCAAAGGCATGCTCTCCATGACCGAACTCCTCCAAATGGGCCTCACCTTCTAACAGCACATTCAGTCATGAACATTAGAGGATTAATCTAGTGATGAGTTCACTCCCCCATGAGCGATCATTTCTCCAAGAGTAAGAGTCCAGATAAGTTGACAAGATGAATTGGTGCACACATGTATTACTTTCACATATAAATCCACAAAGTTGTAAATGAGTAACAAAAACAGCAATAAGAGGAAAATAACCATTAATTAAGATCTTTGCATGAGCAACAAGAGAAGGTCGTGCCCTCCTTTTGCTTCTCCCAAGTCATTCTGCTGTGGCAAAAACTATGCTACTTCCACAGGCACTCATCTTTACTATCAATCAAGTGCAACAGCAAAAGCCTTTGGTTAAGCATAGTGGACACACACACCTATAATCCTCAGGAGCTAAGGCAGGAGGACCACTGTGAGATTGAGGCCAGCCTGGGCTACATAGTGAGTTCAAAGCCAGCCTGAATTACACAGGAAGACCCTATCTCAAAAAACAAAACAAAAAACTTTGGATAGATATAAAAACAGTGCTAGCATTATTAGTGCAGAATTCAATGTTTTAAAAACTGAAGCTAAGTAAGTCTAAATATCACTGACTGCCCCAAAACACAGTTAGAAAAAACAAAACATTACATTCAGAAAGAAGGACCAACACAATTCAGCATCCTCTTCTAAAGTCTGCATTTAGATGATATGTGGGAATGGGAGGTGCAGATTCCTCATCTCCAAATCCTTGCCACTTCCACAGATGCCTGGTTTTGACAAATCTTGCAGGGGCCTCTAGTCCAAAGCAATATGACATTCACTGTCCTCCATTCTCAAACTTTCCTGGTTCCTCAAGATGAACATGGCTGCCAGGAATCCTGATTATTTTTCTAAGGGTTGGCTTTATTCCAACATTTAGCTGTTTCTCCAATATTCATAAAACTTCTACAAAACACCTGGGCTTTTGTAACTAGCTTTTCTAAACCAATTATGATAGTGGAAGATATCTAAAGGAGGCACATCAATTATATTCACTCAACATACATTTATTCAACACCTAATACCAGTGGACATGAACAGCAAGGTCACTGCTCTTGCCCTTAGAGGGCTCACCATGTAGTGGAGCCAGAGATGTATGAATAACAGTAAGTTTTCTAACATAGCAAAGGATGCTATGATAAAACAAAGAGATAAGAGCAAGTGTCTTAGAAACTGCCAGAGACAGATTTACCAGAAAGCTGGCAGTGGATTTACATCATGAATAATAAAATGGCAAGCTGACAAGGATCAATGTCTGCTAAAAAGGATCAATGTGTGGTGAAAAGCAGATGTAGGAAGGCTGAAAAATGAGAAAGTATACAGCTTTGATGAATACAAAATGAGCAGGTGTAACTGAATCTTAAGATATGACTGAAAAGATATGACTGGAAAGAAAGTAGGTTAAAGTGAGAGTGCTGACAGAGAAGAGATGAACAAAGAGATGAAGACAAAGATAACTGGAAAGATTTTCTCACTGAATAGATTTTGGAAAGTAAGGGAGACAGAACATGTAGCATGGCTCTCATAGTTCTGCTTTGAGTAGCTGGTAGAATCAATAACCAAGACAAGAAATAAAGGAAGATCACTTTTTAGTTGATACATTCAGCCTCTGTCTGACATGTTGATATTGAGACAATGTGAGACATCCAGTTAAATGCCTTCTAGTCAGAAATATACTGGAATTCAGAACAAAGATTTGCGCTAGAGCTGTAAATTTCAGCACTGTTAACATAACGAAAGGTTTGGGCAATCTAGCAAGATATATATAGGAACTGGAGAACCAAGATTAAAATCCTGAGAAATATCATTTAAGAAATTTGCAGAAGAACAAAAGTTATTAGAGATTAAGACATACCAGTTGCTGAACTAGAATGAGAATTAACAGAAATGATGTCACAAGGAACAAAAAAGGAACGAGTTTCAGATAGACAGTGATAGAGGTATATGTTTGAAGAAAATAGTGACTAACAGTATCCCCTAGACTCAATAGAGAAGATCATCAGCAATACACAAGAACAGTTTCAATGGCGATGGAAACAGAACTTCACCACAAAGGGTTGAAAAGTAGAAAGTGAAAAAGTAAAAAGAATGTAGACTTTCATAATGTTCAGATATAACTCAGAGAAACAGTATTTGATCCAGGGAATAGGGAGACAGGATTTATTCTGGTACAGAAGCAGGTTACTCCAACCTCCAAGAGAAGAGTTAAAACAATGTGTTATTATCCGGGTGTGGTGGTACATGCCTATAATCCCAGCACTCTGGGAAGCTGAGGCAGGAGGATTGCAGTGTTCAAGGCCATCCTCGGCTACACAGGAAGTTCAAGGCCAGCCTGAACATAGTGAGACCTATTTCAAAAAACAAAACAAAACAAACAAAGACAGTATGTATTAGCCACTCTTTATCCTTAAAGGTGTGTCTGGTTTCATCCAGACCCTGTGTGTCTTTCTCCCATTAGGCTTCAGCTATCTGTTGTTCCCAACACTGTCACCTTCACTGTTTATGTCAAAAGACCTGTTAATCACTTCTTGGCCCTTTGGCTAAGATTAGGTGTAAAAGACCTGTTAATGGCTTTAGTCTTCAGCAAAGAGTAAACAAGTAAATGAGAGACATCTGTTTTTAGATGGAGTAATTTGACAGGTATCAAATCTTACCATTAAACACTGATGGTGGTGATACACACCAGAAAAAACTGAAAGAATATCAATAATGAGAGGGCTACAAGTGAAATAAAAATGAGAAAAAAGAAACAGAAGATTTATAAGAAAGGCGAAAGAGGAAGTAAGGAGAGACAAGGCAGAGGGAGAAAAAACAGAAATGGAAGGGAGAACAACTGTTTGAACATTGGGAATGAAGGGTTGAGCGTACATACATGCATGTTAAATTAAACTACAGCTGATCGTAAGCCAAGGCAGAGAATCCTTGCTACTGTTCAATTTCTTCCCAGGTGGAAGTGGAGTTTCCAGATCTGCCATTCTCTAACATTACAACTACTTTCCACATGCAAGAAACTCAACACTCAGAATTTCCATTACTCAAATGAAAAATGGGTTTAATTTCTTGTTTCTTTGCTGGTTTGAACTGGTTGACATTCACACTCCTTACCCTCTTTAATAAACTGATAGTTATCTCAACTGGCACAATCTTTCCTTCTTTAATATACTTTTCAATGAGTTCGCCATACTGTGACTCTGGGTTCTTCCTTTCATCACGAAGAAGTTCTCCTGCAGAAAGGTGTGTGTAGCCATATTTCTGAAAGAAACAACATATAGGGGAAAAAATCAATTCAATCAACTATACATTTTTCCTTTGTGCTAATCTCTATATTCTAATTTTTCTATAATAAACAAGTTCTGTTGCATATTGACTAATAAAGGAAAAGTTCAGAGAGATTTCATATAATTCAGTTTGCTTATTAGTAAGCATCCTTACCCTTCAGTCATAATGTTCACATCATTAAATCATTCCAGAATTTAGCTACCTATTGAAGGCATTAACATTTCATTATATTCTTTCATGAATATAATCAAAAGTTTAAGTGTTAACTAATATTGCTCAAAGAAATGTCTAACAAAAATCTGTATGACTCACCAGGCATGAGTGCACTCCTGTAATCCCAGCTATTTGGGAGGCTGAAGCAGGAGGACTCAAATTCATGGCCAGCCTGAACAACTTGGTGAGACCCTCTCAAAATAAAAAATAAAAAGGGCTGGGAATGTACAGTGTAAAGGCCCTGGGTTCAATCCCCAACAGTGGAGAAAAAGTATATATGACTCAAGACAAAACCAAAGAAAAACAAAAACCTTACCATTGTTGGTTACACCCGCCTTCTGTAAAAATCTCTGCTTTTTAAAAGTCAACATCTCTAAATTGAGTGGCTGATGCTGTAACTCAGTGACAGAGCACTTGTCTCTCATGTGTATGGCCCTGGGTTCAATCTCCAGAACAGCAAGAGAAAAAAGTCTAAATTGAATTCATTGCCATTTACACAAACTTCATTCTTCTGCTTCCTTCCCTGTGTTGGTAGAAAGCACAAGTCCTACTCTCTCCTCAAGACCACTCTAGAGCATGTTCACATAATCAAATGTACCCTAAAAGTATGAGTCTCTCTCCACTTAGACCAGCATCTTCCTCACCACACCCCAACATCCATTTCCTGCCTTTCCTTGTAACGAGAAGTCTCATTTGTCAAATGGGAATACAGGTACTGTCCTCATGATTAAATGAGAATGTATATAAACTGCCTACCACAGAGCCTGACAAATATCAGGGGATAAAAGCCATCAATTACCTCTTTACTATCCTGAAGATACTTACCTTAAATAATCTCAAATCTTTTTTTTTCTTTTGGTACCGGGGATCAAACTCAGGACCTTGAGCTTTTGAACCAGGCGGTGGAACCACTGAGCTAAATCCCTGGCCCCTCAAATCTTTATATTATAGAGCACTGTACAACAATGTTTGTGTCAAGGATGAATGTCATTTAATGGTGGTCCCATAAGATTATAACAGAGCTAAAACTTCTTATAGCCTAGTGACACTGTAGCTGTTACAATGTTGTAGCACAATGTATTACATGTTTATGGTGATGCTGATATAAATAGCCCCACTGTGCTGCCACTCATGTAGAAGTACAGCACATAAAATTATAAATAGTGCATTACATCTGATAATGAGAATAAATGCCGGTTAGTGATTTATGTATATTTACTACACATTTTATTGTTATATTAGCATATACTTCTAATTATGGGGGGGTACTCTAAAACAGTACAGTAATTCTTTGGTTTACAAATGTTTCTGTTTGCAAACAAGTCGGTTTATAAACAAAAGCATTCAGCAAGATTTTAATGGCAATCCTCCAGCCTCAGCCTCCCAAGTACTGAGATTCCAGGAGTGAACTACGATGCCCAGCTCTCCTGCCTTTTTATAGCAGCTCCTCTTTTTTTTTTGGTACCGGGGATCGAACTCAGGTTCTTGTGCTTGCGAGGCAGGCGGCGGAACCACTGAGATAAATCCCTGGCCCCTATAGTAGTTCTTTTTTTTTTTTTTTTGTACTAGGGATGGAGCTCACGACCTTGGGCTTGCAAGGCAGGCACTAGTGTCACTGAGCTAAATCCCCAGCACGTTTTATAGCAGTTCTTAAGCAGCTGGGAGTGGTGGCACACACCAGTAATCCCAGCACTATGGCTGAAGCAGGTAAATCTCAAATTTGAACCTAACCTAGGCAACTTAGCAATTTAGCAAGACCCCAAAATAAAACAAAATTTTAAAAGCTGGAGATGTAGTGTAAAGGCCTTGAGTTTAATCCTCTTCAGGTATGGTAGGGTGCAGTAGGATTGGTTAGGGTAGGGAAGGGTAGGGTAGGGAAGGATTGTTTCAATGACTCATTGTACAATAACCAACTTGTTTGATTACCCAAGCTATGATGATGACTCAGGCTATAGTAAGTTTTCTTACTTTGGACTGCAGAAGCTATGCATTTTTTTAATTCATTTTCTATTTCCCAAAATTGTTTGTTAAACTTGTTCTTGCTTACTAAATAGTAAGCTGACTGTAAGATAGTCAATAAAAGAAAACACTTAAATATTTGCTGACTGAAGTTGGATATAAAGTTGAACAACAAAAACCATAGTATTGGGCCAGGGATTTAGCTCAGTGGCACCACACCTGCCTCACAAGTGCAAGGTCCTGAGTTCAATCCTCAGCACGCACACACACAAAAAATAGTATTACTCATGTCTGTTTCTTAGTCAAACAGGTCCTTCCACTAGAATAAATTATCAAAAACGCACAAACCTGGTTAGCATAAGCACACACACCTGTAATCCCAGCACTCTGGAAAGCTGGGCAGCTTAATGAATCAGTGAGACACAGCGAGTCTCCAAAGAAAAAAGGGCTGGGCATATAGCTCAGTAAGGGCCCTGGGTCAACCCTGGCAGCAGGGGTGGGGTGGGACAGATAAAAATTTCCATCATTTACAGAAAATAGAAATAAATACAAAATTGTTGCTAGCCATGATGGTACCTACCTATAATCCCAGCACTCTGGGAGGCTGTGGCAAGAGGATCACAAGTTCAAGCCTAGCCTAGGCAACTCAGGAAGGCCCGGTCTCAAAATTTAAAATTTTTTTAAAAGGGCTGGTGTTGGGAGCAATGTTACATAATTCTAGGGAAAAATCATTTGAGTAGGCCTAGTTCTCCTCCCTACAGGCCAGCTATGACATTATAGACATAACTGCATTTTGGCCTCGGGTCACAACTGAGACCTCAGTGATCCCCTGTTTCCCCATGTACTGAATAAAAAGTGCTGCAAGCTAGGGGGTTTTTGTCTTTGCTGCCCAGAGCAGCACTGATCAGACCCAAAGCTCAGCTTCTTCTCATTTGTCTAGCTTTCCTGTAATTCTCCTGGTGCTGCTGTGGCTCACAGGAGACTAGGACTTACTGCAGAGGTTCTGGTAACGTCCCCTTCCCATTCCCTACAGGCTAGGAGGTGTGGCTTAGTCCAAAGGCCCTAGGTTCAATCCTCAGTACAAAAACAACTGTTTATTTACACTGTTATTTTAAAATTATTTCTAGGTCACTTATAAATGTACTCTGATCATTAAGTATGGGCAAACTTATGAAAGTTGGTTTATAAAAATAGGTGTGACCAGGGCCGGGGATTTAGCTCAGTGGTGCTGCTGCCTTGAAAGTGGAAGGTCCTGAGTTCAATCCCGGGTACCAACAACAAAACAAAACAAAACAAAAAAATAGGTGTGACCTACTTTTCTCACTTATTATGTACAATTTTCAAAAAGCATTTTGCAACTACTGTCCACAAAGTTTTATAGCAGCTTCATTTCCCACTATTTATTTTGGCTTCGACTTGGAAGTCTCTGCTTGCTGGATGCTCTACTCTGGTCTAGCAATTACAGCACAGGGTAACATTGAATAAATCAGAGACAAACAGTACTAAACAATGGCAAAATGCTCTGGGAAAACACCAATGGTACAGATTATTCTGTAATGCTCTGCTGTATGAACAACATATACATTTACAATCCCAGATAGTAATTTAGAAATTACTGCACTTACTGTTTGTTTCCTGACATTGGAGACTTCAAATTTGCAAGCTTTATACTGCATTAAAATGGGGTTTGGCATTATATTGCCTTATTTTTTTTTTCAGGAGAAACTAGTTGTAAACTGTAGATATATAAAAATGATAATTTTAAAAATAAATGTATACTTTGTCAAAAAGAGAAAAAGACCTTACCTGAAAAGTCCAACAAAACAAGAAATTTAAACAAATATAACCATGTCAAACTTATAGATGGTCTTTCACTTTCTGATCTGCATTCCACTTTTTAAAAATCCTCTATTGGGCTGGGGATTTAGCTCAGTGGTGCTGTCGCCTGCCTCACAAGCCCAAGGTCCTGAGTTTGATCCCCGGTATCAAAAAAAAAAAAAATCTATTTAGCAGTTACATTTTTATACCATATTTTTTAAGGATTTGTTGAAGCTTTTGCCCTACCAAAGAGTTTCAACAACAAAAAAAGCAACTATCACTTATATACTAGTTATTATGGCATTTAATAACAGCTAGACCTTAAAGAGCATATTTTCAAAGCATTCTGCTGTCAGTAGTCACTGCTGCCAATTTTGAGGAAAGCAAGAATGGAAATTTTCCAGCTTTAACCAAAATTCTTTTCACATGATCTGAGATTTCCTCACAATTAAAACCTAGTGGGTCACTAACTACAGTCAAATGGCAACACTCACAACCACAGAACCTTATAAATACAATAAACTACAATAACTAGAATTACAAGCTATTACCTCAACTAAAAATAGATTTCTGGCTTAGGTCTCCATAGATTCATCTGCACCACTCAGCCACCACACACTCTGCTACTATAAGCCACCATTACGGTGAGGCTCATAAAGGCTGGTGAAAATCAGGGCAACTCCAAGAAAATGGCATCTCCCCCAAAGGAGGTAGAAGATAGTTATGATGAGGAAATGTCAGAAGATGAAGATGACAGCAGTGGAAAAGAGGTTGTCATCCCTCAGGAAAAAAAAGAAAGAAGTCTACTGTGATTTCAGCAAAAAAAAAGTAGTGGTTCCCTCAACCAAAATCAGTGTGCAATTGCCACACCTGCCAAGAAAGCAGCTGTCACCCCAGGCAAAAAGGCGGTGGCGGCCACACAACCCAAGAAGACAGTGACTGACACTGGCCAAGGCAGTCACAGCAACTGGCAAGAAGGAAGC